GTATGTTTTATTTTTAGATTTTTAAAATTTTTTTATAAACTACACACTATAAATTGTGTAATTTATAAAAAAGTATAGTTAATAAAAAGAAAGATATATATATTTTTATTAATGAACTATATATTCGTTAATTAAATAATGAATATTGTTAAATTATGTTATCAGCATTGTTATCTTAATTTTACCTACCATTAGTAATCATATATATATATTTTTAATCTTATGGTATAATACTTTAATAGATAATAGTAATATTAACATATAATAATACAGTAAGAGAAACATTGATTTGGGAATGAGAATTTCAATATGGAAATTGTGCTTGATAAATATATTCCAAAAAAATAATAATAATAAACCAATAAAATAAATGGAACTTTGTAATTTCAAAAAGAATTTAGTTTTTTAAAACTCTTGCTAAGCATTAATATTATAAGAAGTTGTTGACTGGGGCTAGGATAAAATTTATAAAGGATTATCTATGTATAACATATTATATATGTAACAATGTATAAATGATTATATATGTATATCTTTGCTATTTGTTCATATATATATATATATATATATATATATATATATATATATATATATGTGTGTGTGTGTGTGTGTGTGTGTGTGTGTGTGTGTGTGTGTGTGTGTGTGTGTGTGTGTGTGTGTGTGTGTGTGTGTGTGTGTGTATATATATATATATGTATGTGTTATATATATATATATATATATATATATATATATGTATATACATATGTATATATATATATATAAATATATATATATATATATATGTGTGTGTGTGTGTGTGTGTGTGTGTGTGTGTGTGTGTGTGTGTGTGTGTGTATGTATATATATTTATGTATGTGTATATATATGTATATGTATATATATATATATATATATATATATATATATATATATATATATATATATATGTATATGCATGTGTATATATATATATATATATATATATATATATGTACATATATATTTATATAAATATATATATATATATATGTGCATATATATATATATATATATATATATATATATATATATATATATATATATATATATATATAATATATTTATATTTATATATATATATATATATATATATATATATATATATATATATATATATATATATATATATACATATATATCAGGTGTAGTAATTGAAAACCAGGTTTTATTTATCAAAGAAAACACATTTTTTAGCGAAAGATTAAAGATGGTCTGTTCAAAGTATTTTCCATCGTTAGCATATTTTTTGCATCTTTCAGGCAACATGAATTCCATCTCGATAAAATTGTTAGTTTTTTGAAGCGAACCACTCATTAACCTATTTTTTGACTTCTTCAGCTTCATTGAAGTGCTGGTCTGCAAGCTTTAATGACATTGATGAAAATGGATATCATATGGAGCCAAGTCTGGTGAATATGGTGGGTGTGGTAATTCTTCTCATTCAAGTACATTTAATGTATTTTTCACATCTTTTGATTTGTGTGATTTCATGCCTATTCTTCCATTCTGGTCGATTTTCAACCTATGAATGTTTCAAATTGATGATTTGTTGTCGATAGCGTTCGGAATGAACCGTTTTACCAGGTTCCAGTAGCTCACAGAACACAATTCTATTCTGATCCCACCAAACACAGCATTCTCTTCTTTTTGAATCTATTTGTTTTTGCAGTCGATGTTGATGGTTGTCCTGGTGAAACCCATGATCTTTTGTGTTTTGGATTTTTGAAAAAATACCCATTTTTCATTGTAATGATTCGATGCAAAAAACCATTTCTTTCTTGCTTTTGAATGAGCATTTTGCGAATGGTTTTTTGTCTTTCTTGCTGTCTTTTGTTCAATTCATGTGGAACCCATTTTCCCGGCTTTTGGATCTTTCCCATTGCTTTCGAACGATTGAAAATTATTTTTTGACAAACATTTAATGCTTCTCCCAATTCTTTTTGAGTTTGTGTATCATCTTCATCCAATAATTCTTGCAATTTGCTGTCTTCAAACTTTTTTTCTTGACCTGGATGTTTTTTGTCTTTCACATCAAAATCAGCACTTTTAAATCGTTTAAACCAGTCTTCACAAGTTGTTTTCGATGGAATATGTTTACCATAAGCTCCCTCAGCAGCAGTTTTCTTAAAATGAAAACAAAAAAGTAAAGCCTCCCACAAATGATGCTTTTCTGGTACAAAATTCGACATTTTTAACGTAATAAAAAAAATGAGGCGCATTCAATTAACAGTTAATTTTTGTAGAGGAATGTTACAGCTGTTAAAAAAAAATTATTTATCTTGAATACTTTTCCAAAAAAAACCATCTATGTGCCAAACCCTGTTTTCAATTTCTACACCTGGTATATATATACATATATATATATATATATATATATATATATATATATATATATATATATATATATATATATATATATATATATATATATATATATATATATATATGTATGTATGTATGTATATATATATATATATATATATAATATATATATATATATATATATATACATAGTTTATAAAAATTGAAATAACATGCATTTTTGTTATATCTTAAATGACCGATGTTACATGGTGACCAAACTTATAGAGTATTACAGTATGTGGATATATATATATATATATATATATATATATATATATATATATACATAGTTTATAAAAATTGAAATAACATGCATTTTTGTTATATCTTAAATGACCGATGTTACATGGTGACCAAACTTATAGAGTATTACAGTATGTGGATATATATATATATATATATATATATATATATATATATATATATATATATATATATAGGCCTTGCGATAAAGCGTCAGGCAATGTGAATTTTGCGTCGTCCATAAGCGATTTTGCGTGTAGCTTGGGCTATTTGCGTTGAGCAGAAAATTTTTTGTTTGAGTATATTTAAAGATATTTTTGAGCGGAATTTTAGTGAAGTAAATTACGATTATTTTAACATTTAATAAAATATTTTAAAAACTGCACGCAGTTGATATAAAAGTTTGAATGACAAAAAAATTAAAATATGCTCATTATTTACAAGTAGAAAAAATTCAGATTGAAAAAAAAAAGTTTAAATCTTTTTAAGCTAACATTTTAATAAAATTATTCAGCAATAGCAAAGTTGTTGATAAAATTGAACAAAAATACTTTCTTTTAGTTTTAGATTTTTAACTTAAATAATTATTTTACGGGGGTTTGTTAGGTTTTAAAATTATTCCATAGGTTTAAAAATATTTATTAACTGTTAGACGTATTTAAAGTATTTAAGAGTTATTTCGAGGAAATATTTTAAAAATTGGCAAGCGCAAATAAAAAAATAAATAAAAGGATTAATATTAAAACGTATTCTACTTGATTCAATAAAAAAGTGCAGTTATTAAAATTTTTGTAAAAAGTAACTCAAAAAAAATTAATTAATAACAATCGCTTTTTTGTTAAAAGTTATCGAAACTCAACGAAGCGTGCTCAAGAACAGCTGCTGAAAAATAGAACGTCAATAGTTTGATAAGTTTATATAACCTGGTTTTGTTACTCGGTTTCTACCGATGTAAAGCGAATTTCCAAAAACACCCTGAAAAGGGCTCAATAAACGTAAAAAAATAAAATAAAAATTAATTTGCAACCTGTAATCATAAGCCATTTATTTATAAAATAAAATTAATTCTCATATTTAACCACGTAATGTTTTCTTTTTTTTATTTTAGCGCACCTTTCATTAAATATTGTTCAATATGCAAATTTTTTCGCTGAAATATGTTTTTTATACCTATAAGTAAAAGTGTGTAAAAATTTTAAACTATTTTTATTATTGATTATTATATATCATTAAAAAGAGGCTAAAATCAGCATTAAAATAATGAAAATTTCATAACAGAACAACAATTCTACAAAAAGTTATGCTCATTTAAGTAACAAAATTTGATTACAAGGATCGCTCAAAAAAACTGCGACGTTTTAAATTATCAGTTTCGGCTAACGGTAGTTTTGATATGGAACTTTGTTGATAGAAGCGCAATATTTTGCTTTATATACAATATTTTAACTTAGGTACATATTCTGCTACAAAAAATTAGGTGTCTGCTACATAACCTTTTTCGATAAAATTTGGCATGTACGTAGAAAATAAGTTTTTAAATTTTTCTCAATAGTTTCAAAAATGTTCTCAACATTCTTTCAATATTAATTTGACGTGTGATCAACAATGAAGTTTTTAAGAAAAGTAAATTCAATAAAAGCGGTTGTAACTTCAAAAAAAACTATCCAAAAAAGAAGTTTAACTCTTCCACCTTTCAAAAAAAGTCTATGCTGACAAGGCCGGTGTGATAGGGGGGTGTTATGCCCCCCTCCCCCATCAATGACTTTTAGTTGGCAAATTTGACCCTTAGTCGGCAAATGTGACCCTTTTTGACTAGTTAGTCAGCAAATGTAGACCCTGTCGATAGGTCGGTAAAGTCAGTCGGCAAATGTCGATATGGCAGTCGGTAAATTTTAAAAAACGAGGACTTTTTTTTTTTTTTTTAAGATGGTAAAAGTTGTAATGGCACCCTCCCACGTGACCCCTACTCACGCTGGCCCTGTATGCTGATATAAAATCCTAAAAAATAACACAACAAAATACATTCTTACAACTCAAACGCTAAGCACGCTTTGATAAAATAGTCGAAGATTTTGATTACGTAATCGGTGCCGTAACTCATTGGATACGCACGTACCTACTATAAGATTTTTATTCTAGCATTTTATTTCATTTTATTGTTATAATGTTTTTTATTCTTATTATTATTAGTTATTATTATTCATATAGTTAGAGAGAAAATAAACAAATGATTTTACATTTTAAAAAACGAAACATTCCAAAACATTTAAAAATAATAACATTTCTACATTAATGATTTAAAGTAGTTTTGCGGTAATTAAGTAAATTGGTGCAGTTAATGTCGATAAATATGAAAAGCAAATAAAACGAAT